CCCCACTAGCTGTTGGCTCTGGTTTCTGTATTGTCAAATTCACTGTACTTCTTTAAAAAAATTAAATGTAATCTAAGACAAAAAAAATAAATTCACTGGTGTCCTTCTACTTCAAAGGCCAATGGCACTGGTGGAATTGGAATTGTTGAAGTGATTCAAAAGGCCATGAAAACTTTAACCTACAAGTCCCTGTGCTTCCCTGAGGCCATGAAAGCTCGAGGAGTGGACAACAAGGAAGATCTGCCCAACTATTACTACAGAGATGATGGCATGATGGTCTGGGAGGCAGTGAAAAGGTAACTGATAAATGACACAAAAATGTACAGATGTTCAAACACTTATGGTGAGAATTAATAACAATGAAGTAATCAGTAAAGCATTTGACACCAGAATTTATTTTGGAATTTGCTGATTCATCATTTAATTTGATCTTTCTCCAGTTTTGTTTCTGATGTGGTCAGGATCTACTACGGCAGTGATGAGACCGTTCAGAAGGACGAGGAGATCCAGGCATTTGCTCAAGATGTTTGTTTCTCTGGTATGAAGAATTGTCCCAAGGATTGTGGTGAGTACAGGATCAATTGACTAAAATGTAAGTATGTTGATATCTGTGCAAGCATGCACAGTGTGAGCGTTTGTATGATTACATATGCATTGTGATAACATAGCAGACGAGACACCAATTGTTGCCAATTTTCACAGAGTTTCCGAATTCCCTGAAAACTCGGGAGCAGTTGGTCGAGTACTTGACTCTTGTGATTTTCACAGCTTCAGCACAACATGCTGCTGTCAACTTTGGACAGGTGGGATTAGACACTTTTTTGGATGAATATAAACTATGGCTGGGGTAGTATCTATAGGCTGATATCTGTGTGCCTGTCCTACGTTCCAGTATGACTGGTTTGCCTGGATCCCCAACAGTCCTTCCACCATGCGGAAGCCTCCTCCCACACAGAAGGGCCAGGTGGACATGAAGTATATCATGGAGAGTCTGCCAGACCGTGGACGTTCCAGTTGGCATCTAGGAGCAGTTTGGGCCCTCAGTCAGTACCAGGACGAAGAGGTTTGATGACTGATCATTCATAACTAGTTTGAATATACCGTATTGGCGACCGCGTTTTTTCAGATGTATTTCCAAGAAAAAAACATCGTCTTATATTCGGGTCAATACGGTACTTGCTTCCCACAAAATTGCTTAAAACAAAGTAAACATAGTGTTTTGTCCAAATCTTCTTCTCCCCAGCTGTTTTTAGGCGTGTATCCAGATAAGCACTTCACTGAACAATCAGTCATAGAAGCCACTAAGACTTTCCGCAAGAAATTAGGTGAAGTGACCAACATCATCAAGAGCCGAAATGAAAAATTGAAACTGCCCTATTGGTATCTGTCTCCAGACAGAATCCCTAACAGTGTGGCCATCTGAGAGAGCATCTGTGGTAAACATTTCTAAACCACATTTGATTTTAACTAGTATATGCTTAACATCCAAAGAAAATATGTAGGAAAGCTTGGCGGGCATGGTTTTAACTGGGCTATTTGGATCCACATCACAACATAACTTAATAACAAAATCATTGCTACAGTAACTGTAAGGATTTTAGTCAAAATGGTAATCTGGGTAAAAAAATTATAATAATACAAATTATTCCAAAAAATTAATGTCTATACAAATCAAATAAATGTGCAGTCAACATTCACAGTAATTGAAATGTGATTTATTTATGGATTCTCATCAGCAACATTTGTGAGTGTTAATGTGTTACTTCAAGAGAGCAAACATCTGTTTTTTTTTTTATTCAATTGAATTTTTATAAAACATTTAAGAATCATTGCTTATTAATGTAGTTATCATTTGACCATTTATTAATGTATTCATTTTGGTAACACTTTATTTTAAAGTCCAATTCTGGCTATTAACGATGACTTTTGCCACAATAAACTCCTTATTTGCCTCTTATTAATAGTTAGTAAGATAGTTGTTAAGTTTAAGTATTGGGATGTAGAATACGTGCTTTAAAACTATTAATAAACAGCCAATATGATAATAATAGACATGCAAGTAAGCAACTAGTTAATAGTGAGAATTGGTCCCTAAACTAAAGTGTTACCTTCATTTTATTACATTAATCATTTATTCTTCATTTATGTCATATTATGTTTTTATATTACATTTATATTACTTATTATTTCATTTCTATTGTTGTTTAATCTTATGATAGTGGGGTTTCATAACATAATAACGCTTGTTGGATTTGTACTGATTAAATGAAGTATGAGCATTGAAACACATGATTATTCAATAAACCAACTCTGCTCATTTTTACCATCACTTTGTTTTCCGCTTTCTTGGTCAAATTCTCAGGCTGATAGAAGACTGATAATACACCTTTGGTTACCAGACAAGACTTGCTGTTGATAGATTTTACTGGTTTGGATACCAGACAAAACCGATATTTTCTGATAGGATTTGACATCTGAGGTTGGAAATCTTCTATAGAAATCTAACAGTAAAACGAATAAGATATTATTTTGGCGTCGCCGCTATAGTATATAATGCTTGAGTGAGGCGGGATATTTCTATTTTATAGATACATCTTCCTTCAATCTCCTCCATTCTCATTTTTTATATCCTTTCATTCTTGCATCCTAAGATGGAACTACTGTAGGATACTAGGAAAGGAAACAATGGAGGGACTTGAGGATGCACATTAGTTTTATTGAAAAGTATCCATGTTTAAGAGAAAAACAGATACATCCAATCCAATCTAGCTTGTTGAACTGCCTGACATTCTCTTGCACAATTTCAATAATCTATTATTTTTCTGTATATTTATCAGCCCGGTCTCATGAAAATGCGTATAAATAGTACGCCAAATAAAAACAAAAACTTGTGGTATTGATACGCAAAAATTGACTCTCGCGTGCATATGATACGCATGTCTTTGGCGT